TCCGAAGCACCTCTTGACCTTTGAGCTTCCAGTAGCAGCCGAGGAGAAGTGGAAGCAAGCAGCAGCCCAACTCCTTCATCTCCTTTATGCAGCAAGAACCTTGCCCACCTTCTTCGTGCGCACAACTCCATCACCACCTTGCTTCCATTAGCCACCACTTCCAGCACCAATTCATGCCATCATCATCATTCAGCAAGGCAGCCACGCATCAAGAGCAGTAGAAGCGGAAAGGAGCAAAGCTTGGGATTTATCTTTTACGATTAGTTTTCGGCGGCATTGTTCAACATCTGGCTTTTATTGTTTTTGTTTTATTTATTAAACTTTGGGAGTGAGCCACGACGGTAGGAGCATTTCCTTTGCAACTAATAATTCTTAAGATCGTAATGTGCTTTAGTTATATCCTATAGTCACGACAGTAGTCATAGGATTAATGAGAGTAAGAGAATTATATCACGACGGTGAATAGTTCTTAAATAGGTGAATTGTTGTGAGATTAATGAAAATCCAAAGCTAGATATTTGTGAATTGAACTAAACCAAATATTCGGTAGGTAAACCCAATGTCCTAGGTTTTCTTTGTCTGATTATTCGAATTAATATTATTTGCTTTTATTTTATTTATTTATTTTAGTCTTAAATTTTATAAATCTGAGATCATCATTTATCTAGATAATAATAGGAGTAATTTATACCTGGTAATTAGTATTCCTTCTCTGTGGGATCGACCCTACTTGCTTCTTTACTACTAGTTATTGTATTAAGTAGATTATTATTATTTGACTAGTGTGACGACGGCTTGTCAGTGGCTTATGTAATGGAACAAGATTGGTGATTAAAAGAATGGCTCATCACGTCATAGAAGGACAATTAGTCACAGGCAGTAGCATTGGAAAAAGTGTGTATATTGCTAGGATGCCAATAACTCGTTCCGATCCTACACTTCCTTTCAAACTGAGAAGAAGGCAGTTTGCAATAGTTGTTTCGTTTGCAATGACTATTAACAAGAGTCAGGGTTAGACACTTTCACAGGTTGGAGTATTCTTGCAGAGGCCAGTTTTCACTCATGGACAAGTATATGTAGCATTATCTTGTGTCAAAAGCAAGAAAGGGCTTAAGGTCCTCATCTGTGACCAGGTTAATAAGACATCGAATAAAACTAAAAATGTTGTGTATCACGAAATCTTGCAGAATGTATTACAACATTGTAGTATGTAATCAAATTTTAGTTAAGTGTTCATCATTATATTCTACAACCTTTGTATTCTATTGTATGTAGTTCGTAATGTGATGAAGATTTCCATTGAATGTCGTATGTAAGTGCAATTTTATCATATCATAATTTGTTTTTATACTGCCGAGTGCTGTAGAGATCATTGTATGAGATTTTGCCTGATTTCTATTATTTATGATTCATGTAATCATATAGTGATATTGTTTTATCTTGATACTAAATTTACACAATCTGTATATAACTGGAATTATAAATGGTTCCAATTGATCATCAAAGTTTGAAAACACGAATAAATGCTTGGATATGATAGGATTTGTTACATTGTCTCAAACTCTTTAGTACATTTGCAGATAGTCATCTTTCCTGATATGGCCTCCTTTTCAAACCAGATGGACCGGTGAGGCGCATTTTCCTTTATCAGAACCTGCAAAAGAAATTGGTGTTTCCCTTCTCTTTAATTATTATGACATCGGACCTAAGTTATAAGACGAATGGCAACTATATACTGATTATTTTATCAAGTGGCTTACCATATTCAAGTCTTTTGGTTTGGTTTATAAAAATATAAAGCTTGGCATACATATTTCTTTAACTGTGCTACCCATATTTTGTATTTATTGTGTTTTCCTAAACCTCTTTAGTAATCAGTTAGCCTTTAGTCATAGGTACATATTCAAAAACTTCAATATCTTCTGATATAATTCTTCTTGAGAATAAGAACTATTGAATTTTTTTGAAAAAATTCCTCTTGAAATCTTGAATGATATTATGTTGAGACTGGATACAAATACTATAGGTATAGCTCGATGTGTCGATCAATTGTTATGTACGTTTTTGAAGTCCGCTGATTTCGTATCCAGGCAACGAGTTGCCAATAAATTACAAAAAAAATCATCATGTCTTATTTTTGTCAAGCACCCTATTTTCTGTCTTCCTGGAGAAAAACCACACATGTCTTTCAAAGTTTTCGACTCTCATCAAAATAAAGGTCATCTACTATGTCCTTCATTGACTAAGTTTGTCCATTCAACTTGTATCCACAAAGTTCTTCCATTTACAACTGACTTGATATGTTTTGTAGTTGCAAGTACCATTCAGGTTTTGAATCCAACTACCGGTCTTATTATCACTCTGCCCGATCCCTTTGAAAACCAATTTCTAGGCATCATTGGCAACCAACTTTCGGTTTGATCAATGATCAGTCACATTATTGTATTTTGGTTTTATATATTCGTGATGGACCGGAAATTTTGTGTAAGTCATTTTCTCGGTCATTTGGTGAAACAACACAAAACATTTCGTGGAGTGATTTTCAAGCGGTTGGCCCAAGAATTCTTCAGGCAATGGTGTGTTTTCCGGTAAGTATACATTCTGGAAAATTAGGGAACCACGAATGTTTGATCTAGGCTCCCAGTTTCACGTTGAGCTGTTGATGTGTTTTGACAATGAGCATGATAAGTTCGTAATAATAAACTGTCCAGACGAGTCATTTCGGAACATGTATCCTTTTTGCGGTCTGATGAGCCTGGTTTTGTTAAATTATAAATGTAAGCTTTGTATATCTGATGAAGATTACATGGTAATTGTCGACACAGGACCTATTCAGGATGCAAATTACGATTGGCATCAACTTTTCCGAGTGTGTGTCGAATTTTCAATTTCTATGCCACCTTCGCCGTTTCCAGATCTACAGGAAACTATTTGGATTAAACAGGTGTTTTTAAATTCTCATTCATCTGACGATGGAGACTTATTGATGAATGCACCTAGCCGGAACCAGTACTATGTCTATAATCCAAGTCAATGGAGAAGCCAATATCAATCTTAGGATTTTATGAAATTATTGTGTGATTTTACTGTAATAGTCTTGCGCCTATATAATTTAGATTACTCTATGCAATATGAATGGTTTTGTTGCAATCCGTAAAACTATAGTTTCATAATTGATGTTTCCTTTCAGTTAATTAGTTAGTACATTTTGTTACACATAATTTAAGTTCTAGTATCAATTTACACAATTCAAAATCTTTATATTATGTTGACCTCTGTCATAAACTGCCGTTTGGCTTTTCAGAACATCATGTATCCATAAATTTAACCAAAAAAATTAATAAGTAATAATGTAATGAAGGGTTGAGCAGTATTATTGTTATTATTTTTATTTTTTTTTACATTTCACCAACATTAGTCGTACTTATAATGCAATAATTCTCCCATTCCTCACAACACAAACAAAAATTATTATACAATTATTTCTTGGACTAGGGATATTATGCTATCCTGTATTTGACCATCTTAATTACAAATCTAAATTTTGTCGTGTAACATTGCATTTCATTATATGCAATAATTTCGAAATAGCCATGATTTTATTTCTTCACCAAATAGTTCAACCAATTAATTGCCATTTAGTTACGTGCCACCAATTTTGGATAAATCGTATATTAAACATTTGCATTCTTCCATGTATAGATGCAATATTGGTAGAAATTAACGACAGCAAAATATAAGTACAAGTATTACTGGTTTCACGACATACGAATTATATTCCTTTAAAATAAGTTAGAAATTCAAGATATATGCCATCGAAACTACCAATCTGACAACATTATTATTACTGTTGTGATTCTGATTTAATCAATTGCAGGCTACTTCACTGTTTAATATTTTTGAACAATTTCAGGCTCATGACTACGTGAACCTAGTAATACTAGATCAGTTTTTTTTTTAATAAAGAAACTATAACAAAGCAAGTTGGGAAGGGTTCTCGGCTTCCATGATATCTTCATTTCCTAAGATGGTATCAGTTGTTGGAAAATACCCACCTATTATATATAGGGCGGTGAAAGGAAATCCATCATCATTACCCCAGTTTATGATGAAGGTGTAGGCTCCAAAATATTTAATGAATAATTGTTTGGATTTTTATTTGGCTATTGTTATAGATACCATAGAAGATATGTTAATCCTGTCATATTTGATGAGATTAATCCTTTCATTATAGTACAGTTCATATCAATGCAAATTGCAAAACACAAAAAATTTAATGATTTATTGTAACCTTTTTGTGATAATGGCGGTACATTGATTCATAATTGTTATGCTAAATGGACATTCATTGCTAGGTATGACACAAAAACAAGTTTACAGGTAATTTAAATGAAAGAAACATGTCAAAGAAACAAGTTTTAGGAAAGAACCCTGGACCTATCAAGTTCCTTTATCAATCAGTCTTTATATTTGGAATTCGTAAATTGGCATCGGGCTTCTTTGGGGCCGAAAAGATAGTTGAAATTAAAATCCTAGACAGATTATATGTATTACAACCATGCTTATGCGTGGTCAACATTTGCTAAAAAATTATGTAATTCTTTTCCGAAATAATTTGCATACGATGCCATTGACTTCAAAACGAATAATGCGAAGATACGAGTCACTAATGATCACATTTTAACAAAACAACGTAGAGAATATTTTCCCTCGCTCTAAGGGATTCTCATATTAAATAACAAATATATAATAATAAGTATATAATAATAATAATAATAAGAAAGACTATGTTAGGTTTATGATAGAATCCTAATTACACATGAACTCAACAAAATAACTATTTGTAATAGTAGTTGTGTTGAGGAACGAACGTTATCTTTCCACCGATTGGAAACTTCAGGAGTTGCAACATATAATGCCAGTTCCAAAAAAGGTATAATGGTTGTGCTGATGAATCACAGTTAGGGGTATCCTTTTCATATGTGCCTATTGTCATCCATTCAATGTTGTTTTGGTGGCTCAACAGGCAACGGCTCTTGGAGGCAAGATTGTAGTTCAGCACCATATATGTTGGAAGAGGCTGTGGAATTAATTTCATTTCACAAAAATTTCTTTTGAGATTGTGTTTATGAGAATTTTATAAAGTATAAAACTAATGTTTTCGTAGGGTAAGTTTCATAAGTCATGTAATCGTTGATTCTAGATGTTACGGAATGTATTATTGACTATGATTTGATACATACCACCCTTCTGGTGTGCATGACATCTTCGTCAGTGTAGTAACTGAAATTATCGATTCCAGTTAGTGGAAAACAATGGAAAGGCTCTATTTTATCCCCTACTTTATAAAATGTGTTTCAATTAATTGGGTATATTGAAACTAATTTTGTAATATGAATAATGGAGGATATGAAATAATACTAAGAAGGCAAATTAACTAACCTTCAGAATCAAAGGACTCAGTTTTCGGTGCTTCAATAAGATAACCATCCCTGTCAAACACAGAAGCAATGAACAATGTGCCAGTATATGAAAATACTACATGATATCCAGGCTCCATGTTGTAGTAGGCATAAAAGTTGCGCCAAGTGCTGCCATAAAATCCCTCAATCTCTCCATCCTATGTACAAGCTTCATTTCAATTACATTATTATTATGTCGTAGTAAAGCAATGGAATTTTCATGAAAACCTAAAACTTTATAGAAGTTGGTTGGGATAACCTGATGAAGTATCGACAGTATAATGAAGCCAAAAGTGAGATGCATGTGTTTAATTGCCTATCAAATAAATGAATATCGTATATTTATTGAATTGGAGTTTAGATATCTGAACTGACCACCGAATAATAAGACATATTGTCGACAGTGAGGCAATAGCTAGCGATATGATTCACCAAGTTGTTGTGATGAATGCCAATCTGAGAGCCATCAACTCCAAAGTTCACTACTCTCAGTTCATATTCGCCTGATTTGATGAATTGAATGTAACAGCCTGGTGAAATGTGCATTGTCGTCATGTATTCCTCTTGTGATGATCCAAACATATGAATTCTTCCTTTCCTGGTGAGGCGACATTGGACTTGGAAATCACGATTGGGAGTTTGTATCAATATAGTTGTCGGAGGATTTCCGATGAAGTTCTTGGCAAATTTGTGTGAAATAGTCTGGAAACATTTAATGTACCGATATGATTAATTCATTCAAAAACTTTACAGTTGGTCTATGATTGTATAAGATACTTAATTGCGAAATACAAAAGTTACCAATCCTTCGCTTGTGACAGACTCGGGTACTTTATATAGGAACTCAACCGTGTGCTTCATTGTGTGGCCTGCAAGAACAATTACATTTGTACTGAGATTGTTAATCTATCAGATAGTATAATACAAATCATGTTTTAAAATTAGGTAAAAGTTGCAATGAATTTGGTAAATATGTCATTATTCAAGTCACTGAAAAAGTATTCAAGCATTATTTTTGTTTGTACATTGTTAATTTCGTTATGAACATGTGCACTTAACTAACTTGGTTTGAATTAATGGTGGAAATGAAAGGACAAAATGCTAAACTATATAAATACATGATGATGGTGTGTAACCGAAACATGCATGGTAATTAGATTAATCAACTAACCTTTTTTGCAGGTTGTGCAATTGCCTTTGAGAATGTTTTAGTGAGTGACTCTTTTCCGACTGGAATATGTTGCAGGCCGAAAGGTTTATTGGAATGGCTTCTGCTTTGAGTTGGATGGATTGATAGTTATCTTAAGTTGTTGTGTGGATTAAATAGGCAATCAATTGAAGAGTCACGTGTGAGTAATGATGCCCTTTCAGAAGCATCAATTCAATTACGATTGACAGTTGATGTGATGGTAAGCAATTATGACTAAACAAAATTGTTACGGTTGAACACGTCTCCTTCGGTCCTCTGGGAAATCATAAAGATTGCTTCTTCGAATCTATTTACTTACTTGTTTTATTTTTTGAAAATTATTATGTAATAATTTATTAATATTTTTTTTTAAGAAATAATGAAGATGCCTTCTTGGAACTCATATAAATCAATTAATACTAAGATACATTTTCTTTAAAACTTATCGGTTACATCGTATTAGTTTTCTTTTTATTCATACGGGGTTTATGGTTTATTCGTTTTCCAAGGGTTACAATCATAATAGAGACTCGTACGTCTTAAAATTAAAATTGTTCGTTTCATTTAAAACAACTATTTAGTATTGTTTAATTAGCTATAATGACTTTTTAGAAATAAATCACTTCTTCCACCACAGTAACCTAATTCTATTGTTTTTATTAAATAACCCAGTTTTATAATTGACGCGTTCTAAGCAAAATCGACATCAATTAGCAAATTCTTGTTACCATAGCTGACTACTTCGTTGGGAATGTACCACAACAATTAATTTTATTCTGCAATTTGCATGGTATTTTTCATTCGTTCTGTACTCAAGGATTTTCGATATCTAGATCAATTATGTTTATTTTTTATTTTATAATGGCCGTGATAATGATTTCTGCCATGTCAAATCAATAAGTTAAATGAGATGATGTGTACTGTCTCTAATTGCATTCTTCCAATTCATTCAATCTATCGTAATTTTATATCGATCCTGTTTGGACAATATTGCCATATTAAATTATTTGGAAACGTCACGTGGATGATGTAGGCTATGGTTATTTGAGAAAGAGGATTTAATGGTTGTTTGGTTCGGACATAGGTAGTATTGCAGGTATTTAGTGTACAAATTGAGTTAGTCGTTGTCACTCATAGTGCAAGTTATTATGGCCATTAGAACATGCAGTAACGTATTTTTTTTTATTGTTATTCACTTGACTTATTTCAGTAAGCTAGGAGATTCCGCGTCACATATTATTAATCAGGCTGAAGACAAAAATAATCCATATGTTTTGGTTTTGTTATTTAGTATTTAACTGGTTCAAACTTGTGATTCAAAGAGGGTAAAAAACATTAATTAATTTCGGCCCATGACAATCATTGTTTCTTTATGCAAATATAATATATTTTCATATAGTATAACACAATTCTTACCATTTGAATTAAATAGGTAACGTAACCCACGGATAGTTATCGTTAAACTCGCGGGTACAAAAAGCCTATGAAAGGAAAAAATGTTCAAATTTGTTACTCTAAAAGCGTTGCGTTTAATGTTTGTTCACGGTATTTTGAAGTCTAAATATTTTTTTATTAAATAATAATACAATTAAAGAGATTGATTCTGATTATTCAATTCGTTGTAGGCTTTTTTGTGTTCTACTTGTATGGATATTTTATTTGTTACAATTGTAATCCATTTAATTTTTGGAAAGAACTGTTGTCCATTTGATAGTCACGTCTGCCCTAACACATCATGTAAAACTTTTTTTACCTATTTATACAACAACAGTAAAAATGAACTTCCTCTATACTATTACTCATAACTTTATGCTTTTAACCGAATGTGGTCGTTAATGTAAAAATGATTGAGGAATATATTTTTAGTTGCGTTACATAATTTACTGGCGTCAAATATACGTGCTGAAAATGTGGTTAAGTTTCAAATATTTGACCTTTATTTAATCAGAATTTAAAGGTCTACTATCTGGTAATTGGATTACACAACAAAACGCCACAAGTTGTGATTATTGGCACAATTTATTTTAATGTAAATTTTATTCATTCAGTAAATGGGTTCATTATGTTATTGGGGATTTAATTTAACAATTTTTTATTGTAACTATCGTGTACTGTAATTATAAAGAATGCAATTAAAGTCTATTAATTTCTGTTAATCTCAACTGCAATATAATTATTTCAGTGATTGAAGGCGACTTTTGTACATACTAACGTATATTAACAATGCATTCAGGTTCTACGTGTAAATTGTAGTTTGTAATGAAAATTACGATATCATTCTCTGCGTCCATATTTTATGGATAGTGATTGTTGATAATGTCTTTATTGTATTGTTTTTTAAGATAAAATGTGTACGATAATGTTAGGATATTATGTTAATTGTCAGATTTTATTAGAATAGTATTGCATCCGTTTAAATAAAGATTAAGTGTACTAAAGATCCCATTTAATATGACATCAATGATTTTAATGGTATGTGCTAAATTTAACTTATATTAATTCGGTTGGAATGTCATCACATTTACATTTTTTTGACCGAATGTCCATTTCTTCCAAAGTTAGTAGGCATTATTTTAATATACTCAAGTACATAATTAATTGTTGTGATTGTTAAGTGGGACAGCTGGGAAGTAGTTAAATATTTCCATTTTATGATTCAATATGTACATATGTAGATTCAATGTGCAAAAGCTGTATAATCCATTCATCAATTCACTTCAATTTGTAATCCTTTTTTATTCAAAAAAAAAAAAAAAACTGTAATCGTTTTGTTGCATGGCTCCTCACGCCTTTTAAGCTAAACACGCTTTAAATACTTGCAAAAGTTGTGCAATAAATACAAGTGTAACATGATTTTTCACAAATTTTTCAATTTTTACATATATTGTATTTATATTCAATTCATGGATGTGTCTATAAATATGTGTCCGTATTTCGTTTCATTCATATCCTTTTCAGGAGTCTACATTATAACTCCAAATTCCAAATTTTAAGATAGGCTGTTGTATATTACACCACATATTTTCCTGCCACTATGGCTTTATTGGATTGGGAAAAATTCAAATAGATTGGAATGAAGACTCTCTATTTGATAGGTTGCCTCATGATTTGGTACATGAAATTTTGACACAACTTGATGTCATAAGTGTCGGAAAATGTCGTTGCATCTGCAAGTCTTGGGCAAAAATGATGGTTTCTGAGGACTTTGCAAGGGTTATTCGAGTACGCAATGAGATATTTAAGCGCGATTGTGAGCTGCTCTTTGTGCATCAACCTATTGTTTCAGCATCTGGTGAATCGGACTTCATGTCTTTCTAATTTGTAAACTCTAAGTCTGGTACTCATATTAAACGGTCAGCTTCTTTATCCAAGCATGTTTGTCCAAATTATATTCCTAAAGTTTTTCCATATACTTGTGATTTGATGTGCTTCATAGTAGATAGGGATATATGTATACTAAATCCAACTACAGGAGATTTCCGGAGGCTCCCTTCAGCATTTGATGTATCTGTTCTTGCGGGTGGCTGGCATGCAATGTTTGGGTACAATTATTCGTTATCTACGTATTCTATAGCCGTATTAATGAGTTTTGGTACCAGGAAAATTACATGTAAATTATTTTAGTGGGGTATTGCCGAGCCTATCGGGCAAAGTGTTTGGACTGAATGCAGATCAGTTTGTTCAAGATCTTGTTGTAACAATGGAGTCTATGTAGGTAACTAAATATTCTGGCAAGTTAGAAAGATGCATATGTGGGAAACTGTTGGAAACTATGGGAGGGAATTGTTACTTGCGTTGAATGTTATAGATCAAGTGTTTCACATATTTAAGTGTCCCGATGATCCATTCTGGTCTATGTTCCCTCTATGTGAAACTACCAATGTTATTCTATTGAATTATAGAGGAAGTCTTTGTGTAACTGATTCTGCGTCATTGAAAGATCTGGCGTTTTTGTGCTGTGGAAGTTGGACATTGTTGACAAAGGTATTGACCAGGAACCTACATACACGTGGACCAAAATCTTTAGTATAAGGCTTGATTTTCATGTTGTCAGGCCATTTCATCCATTTCAACGGCAGGGCGAAACTGTATACATCCAACAATTATTCTTAAACTGCTATTCTTCTGATGATGGCGGATTCATATTGACAAGACCAGATCGGAGTCACGACTACATCTATAAGCCTTCTACAAACTCCTTTGCGCTACATAAGAAACCTATTCATATGTCGGGATTTTATGAATTGGCCGTGGGCTTTTTTTGTCGGAGTTTGTCTCCTGTATAACTTTAATGTCATTGTATCCTCAGAAAGTATTGTTATTAATGAAGAAGATGAGTTTTTCATTTCATCAGATTAAATTGTCTTATTCCTAATTCAAATGTTACATGTATGAGTTGCTTGATTATTACAGTTTGTTATATTTTTTTTATACATGAGTGATATTGTACGACAATAAGGAATTTTGTCATTTTCAGACAATGTAATTATAAAATGTTGGATATGTGATAGGTGAATATGACATTTTAATGTGGTTCATAATTTCATACATCAAAAACAATATCATTGCATGAACATATTGACGTAATGAATAATGAATATTAACTATTTCAGTTTGACCGTTATGGCTATGGATGTATCGATTTGTTGTTGTGGCCTTGATCATATATTTT